TAAGGCCTCTAATCGCCACAGAGGCAGCCTACAGTAGGGGTTGAGGATGTGAACTTCTTGGTTTGAATCCTGGTTCTACCATTTTCTAGTTGCATAACCTTGCACAAGTGAATTCAACACTCAGTTTCTTCATCTGTGAAATATTACTACTGCTATTATAGTAGTAATATTACCTGCCTTACAGGGATGTTGGAGGTTACCGCATATAAAGTGCTTAGAACGTCTGTGCCTGGCTTAGCATAGTGTATTCACTTCTCAATATGTTAGCTATTAGTATTATGGAGTTCACATTCTCATTGGGAGACAGATCATATCATACACACCTAAATACAATACAATAAAGCCCTCTAATGGGGCTTTAAACAAAATACTGTAAGAGCTCTGATGAGATGAGTATCACTGGATTCATTGATCAGTTACACTGAATCTTCTTTGAAGTGGTAATCATGACTGACAAGAAGGTGGGACTCTCAATAGAACTGATCTCTAAGCTGGGACTTGAAGATTGAATTCACCAGTGAAAAAGGTGAAAGGAGTAGCCAGCAAGCTACAGCATTAGCAGCTAGCATGAGCAACGGCTCAGCAGTGTGTAAGTGGATGACCTGTCCAGGGACCAGCAAGTAGTGTGGAGATAAGGCCAGAACGACAGGTCAGAGCCAGGGTTTGGCCATCATGGCAGCACTGGAGAGCAATGTGATCAAATCCATGTTTTACAAAAATAACTCAGCTATATCCTAGATGATTAAATACATAAAAGAGAGACTGCAAGCAGGGAGCCTGTTATGAAACTGTCATGGCAGCCTGAACTGGGACAGTGGCAGTGAGAATGGAGAGATACGGACAGAATTGAGAAGGACTTGGAGGGGGAATGGAAAGCACTTAGTGACCGAATAGATATGGGAGCAGAGGAAGGATGCAGGGATGACTCTGTATTCTAGCACAAAATTTAAAAAAAAAAAAAGCAGGAAGAGAAGCAAGTTTGGGGAGAAAGATAATGAGTTCAGTGTTATAAATATTAAGTTTGGTTAACTGCAGGAAGACTATCAAGTGGGGGAGTTTAAAGTATAATTCTGGAGTGCAGGACAGATCCATTCAGGATTGTCAGAAGGGAAAGTAAAGAAAAAGGGAGGAAGTGGCACTTAAAAAACAATCCGTGTGTGTGTGTGTGTGTGTGTGTGTGTGTGGCCCAGCGGGTTCTGTGAACCACTGGCTTTCTTCACAGAATTAGAAAAAAACGACTTTAAATTTCATATGGAACCAAAAAAGAGCCCATATAGCCAAGACAATGCTAAGCAAAAAAAATAAAACAAAAAAAACGAAAGCTGGAGGCCTCACATTACCTGACTTCAAACTATACTATAAGGCTACAGTAACCAAAACAGCATGGTACTGGTACCAAAATTGATATATAGATAAATGGAACAGAACAGAGACCTCAGAAATAACGCCACACATCTGCAATCACCTGACCTTTGGCAAACTTGACAAACGCAAGCAATGGGGAAAGGATTCCCTACTTAATAAATGCTGTTCGGAAAACTGGCTAGCCATATGCAGAAAACTGAAGCTGGACCCTCTCCTTATACCTTACACAAAAATTAACTCAAAATGGATTAAAGACTTCAATGTAAAACCTAAAACCATAAAAAACCTAGAAGAAAACCTAGGCAATACCATTCAGGATGTAGGCATGGGCAAAGACTTCATGACTAAAACATCAAAAGCAATAGCAACAAAAGCCAAAATTGACAAATGGGATCTAATTAAATTAAAGAGCTTCTGCACAGCAAATGAAACTATCATCAGAGTGAACAGGCAACCGACAGAATGGGAGAAAAATTTTGCAAGCTATCCATCTGACAAAGGGCTAATATCCAGAATCTACTAGAAACCTAAACAAATTTACAAGAAACAAACAACCCCATCACAAAGTGTTGCCCAGGTTATGAACAGACACTTCACAAAAGAAGACATTTACGTGGCCAACAAACATATAAAAAAAAAAAAAAA